GCTGAAGAGAGCAACGGCCTCCTGCGGTGGTGGAGGATTCTGTCTCGAGGGAGGACACGCTGGAGCGGTGAACCTCACCTCGAAGTTCCCTCTCTTCTTCTGTACCTGGAGGAGGAGAGGGAGGTGAAGGACTGGATGGGAGAACTGCTTGGCACGGAAGGGGAAGGCATCATGAGGCAAATTGGGCAGTGGCATCTTTCGCTTCACCGCCGCCGTCGCTCCAAAGATTCTTCAGAGCCTCAGGATCCTTCACTTGACGCACTAAAGAATGCCCCCACTTCCTCTTCATCCTTCTCCACCCCCACCTCATCCTTGATCGTCTCTGATATCCCCAGCTACAAACACAAAACCAACACACCCAAAAACCGATGCAAGCTCCACTCTTTCCGCCTGTCTTTCGACGAACTCGGCTGGGGCCACTACTTTATCGCCCCGCCCGTCTACAACCCTCGGTTCTGCCAGGGCGACTGCCCGAGAGTGCTCCACTATGGCTACCATTCCCCCAACCATGCCATAATCCAGACGCTCATCAATGACCTGGGCGTCGGGGACGTCCCTCCTCCGTCCTGCGTGCCCTACAAGTACATGCCCATGAGCGTGCTGGTCGTGCAAAAGAAGAAGGTGGAGTACAAGGAGCTGGACGACATGGTGGCAGAGTCCTGCACGTGTCGCTAAAGACTTGGAGGAGCACGTCTAAGTGATTTAAATATGCTTTGCACTGTGGGGGAGGAAAAAGAGACTTGAATAGAATTTCTGATGGGACACTGTTTTGAGCTTCAGCTTGGCAGCTAACCACAACGAGCTTTATGCTGGAGGGAGGAAGCTGCTGTTGTGGTTTCCGTGTGGTTTCATGGTCCCTGTTGAAGCAAGGTGGATGCTGAATGTGAATGCGGGATCTGCAGACAGAAGAAAGCCCTTACTTTCCAGTGTGGAATGACTGTACTGTAAACCCTCTGTGGCTAAAAGCACTTTGTAGGTGAATATACTGCTGATGAAATTATGGATCACTAAAAAGCAGGTTAGGTCACCCTGAATGATTATTATCCCAAACGTCCCAAAAATATAACAAATGTACAAATACATAAACTAACTTTGGGTAAACACCAGTCTACATATAAGATTTAAACAGAACAAATTTAAAATCTCAGTATTCAACCTTAATCCACAGAACTTTTTCGTCCTGTGTGTGTCTGTCTGTGTGTTGTTCTTTGTGTAAATCTGTTTCACAGCATTAAAAAAAAAATCTGGATAATGTGACGGCACTATGCCAGGCTGCATTCTTCAGCAGGAAATTAGATGCTTGTTTAAAAAAAAAAAAAAGGTAAATAAAAACAATTTTAATGGACAAAGGGGTTGACCTTGTTGGATGTAACTGTAGAGGCGTTGTGACGTTACGTTCTTGATGTTGAGTGTGAAAGAAAACAAAGTGTTGTAATGGAAAAGTGTCATTTTATATAAGTGAAAATGAATAATAAAGTAAAATGCATATTTTGTATAGTGTTATTTATTGCTAGTTTTAGTGTTTTTAAAAAAAAAAAAGTTGTTACTTAACAACTTACTTTTAAAAAGTTCAAAAGCTCCAAAAGACCTACAGACCTGCAAAGACAACTGGATTTGATCATTTTGTTCTTTACAGTAAATACTGCTAGCAGATGATTAGGTTACTTCAGCATTCGAAGCTTAAAAAAAATAAAAACCTAGTGTTGTTCTTTCCAAAAGCTCTGAAAACCGACCTTTTGGAGCCGAACGCTAACTGTTAGTATTAATGTTTCCTTACAAAACTGCTTAAAACCTTAAACTGCGGCTGCTACTTTTTAAAAATGTGCCTTTATCTGCTGATGTTGACATTTTAATCATGTCCTAAATTTGAATGATGTTCCTAAGCTGTTGAAGTGCATTAACCCACTGCGTCCAACAGATGGAGCTGTTATCCTTTTTTTTTTTTCTTCTCCCAAATGCATGAAGTTTACAGGAATGGGCAGAAATTCTGACATGATTCTTTATGCTTGTATTGCCCACAGTAAAGTTAACAAACATATCTCTATAAATATGCACACAGCACATAAGCAGGGGTGTAAGCAGGTTTAATTCTATTGGCTTTGCATGCAGTGATCTTTGTGGCGTCCAGGTTAAGTTTTCCTTGACTTCACTCCAAAGGAATTCCTCTGAGGAAGGTTTTGAAATTTACATGAAGCCAAGCAGGTCAACCAATCACAGCATGCCCTGTACTACACATACAGATCACCTCATGACACA